TCAGGACTCCGTATGCCTACGGATATGGGATGCCGTATTGGAGATGAGCCCGGTTGAACGGAAGGCGAAGTCTCTGGGGTCAGAAACAGATGAGCTGAGAGTTGGAGAGTCTCTGTCGGGATGAGAACTTGGACTTGTCAACTTCGCAATGACCAAACAGTTGGAACGCGAACACTTCGATTCCTTTACCATCCTGAATAACTCCGAGATGAATCCTTGTTTCAACTACTGGCGTCCTAGATGTGGAAACCCGAGTCGTGACGGTTGAGTCGTACCAGACCGGTCGACCAACGTTCAAGTTCTGTCAAGTTCTGAAGAATGATACTGAACCTCGACGAACCTCAAGGCAAACAAGAACAGATCCATACAAAGCAGACGAACATGACCATCGGATGAACTGCTTTTGGGAGATCAATCCGGCATGCTCCGTCCAAGTGGCTCCGTTGATCCGGTCAGGCCCTTTTGATTGGCGAAGCAGTGAGGCGAAATCGCCAGACCGGACCGTCAACCAGGGAGGACATGACCGGTGCAGGTTGACACATCCAGCGGTCGACCGAGTGTGGAATTGGCGTCCAAAACCGATCAACATGGCATATCCAGTATCCAGTGGTATCCAGTTATGCACATTGATCCTCCAAGTCCATCGAATCGAAGGCCATCTGGGATTCCTGGCTGGTCCACGATCGGCAGAGGCCCAGGGTCATGGCCCAGTCGAGGAATTCGCGCCGGTCATTGACCAGTCTTCACCCGCCAAAAGGGCGTGGGAGGCCGTGGAAAGCGCGGAAAGCGGTTTCCGCTGTGGCCGGGATGCGAGTGTGCAAAAGAGGATGCGCTGTTGGAATATGTTGGAACCGGGAAAAGATGGGAAATGTATGGAAAAGTAGAAACACTGAAAGGATGGAGAGGACCGGTGTGGTCGCATTTGTGGGTGGCGGGTACTGAGGTCATCTTGGCCAATGTTTCACCGGCACAGATATGCATGCAAGAGACTATCTCGACGTGGCTTGGAGCGCAAGTGGAGGTCGAGGTGAAGATGGTGGAGTCAGAGGGTCGAGACGTGCCTTGGGGACACGATATGGACAGGATATGACAGGATCAGGAATGATTCTGGATGATTGATGATGGCAAGACATGTGGCTGGATGTTTAGACAGGATATGGCAAGACATGTGTTGCAATTATGAACCAAGCAGATGAACAGATTGAAGTGCCGAATGATAATAGACATCTTCAGTTCAGAGCGTCAATGTGCATGCCACACACTGGCAAGCCACTCCCCAGAAGCACATGAGGAACGGTTCCAAGCGACAGCTTGTGTCATGAATTAGGCGTTCTTTGGCAAGAGTCTCCTTCAATCAATGTGGTTGTGTATTCAAATAGGGAGACCTCCAAAAGACCTCCTGGAAGAAGGAAAATAGACCAAAACACATTGGTTGGGTGCCTCCCTATTGAAATACACACCCATGTGGTACAGTTGTTTCTGGATGAGTCATATTCACCATCTTGCCGAGGCCACCCCAGAAGGTTTGCCTGGCACTGTGACACATGAAAAACACACATAAGAATCTGTGAAAGAGTTGCACATGGTTTGATGTTGAAATATGTTCAAGTGTTGTGGCTAGTGACTCCAACGACTGTGACCATCATTTGCTGGAAATATCGTATCTGTGGCTACTGAAATCCTATTGCTGGACTGTACAGGTATGGTATGGTCGTTATGGTGCTTTCTTGGTACCGACACCGATCAACGACCCCGGGAAAGACTTTAAGAGCAACAATAGACTACTTAGTTTCTTTCATGATCCAACTTTGTAGCACGGGATACTTTTTGGATCTGAAAGTTCGTTTCTTCAGATTCATCACTTCCTGGCCTTTGTCTACCGAGGACTGTTGATTTGCACGATATTTTGGTGTTGATCACGTGAGAATCCGTCGGCCAGACCCGGGGATTTGAACTCCAGATTTTGCTTTCCTTCCAAAGCACGGGCAAACCGCTGGGCTTTGGAACCGCCCCACAATCCTGCTATATCCTACTCCGAAACCGCTAAGGTGCCAGTGCGAGAGACAGAATCGCTCGCACTCAGGTTGAAGTTCGCCGCCCGAGCCAAGCACATCCGCTGCACTGTGGTGCGGAACGAGGCAAAGCGTTGGGGTTCGAACTGGGGGATCGAGGAATTGGCCAAGGCTCCCGCTGTTCGCGGAGCCCAGCAGAGCTCCTGGCGAGTCAGCCGTTTACATTTATATAGTTCTTTTGACTCAGACGTATCAAATGCATCGAAGGGAATTTTATGAGAGAGGGTTCATGATTCACCTGTATCCTTTATCCTACTTTACTGTGCCCGCACTCAAACAAACACCAAGGCCACAGGAGGGCCAGATGATGAATTTTTGTCCAGTGGCGCTCTAGAGGTCTTTGTGTTGAGGTAGCAAAGCTACCTCTTTTGAGGTCCACGTAATGCCTACCAAGTGGTAGGTGATCTTATAATCAATGCGAGAAACCAGTTGACATGGAGAACGTACTAGCATCTTATTAAGTTGGTTTACACTGGGCAAGGTGTTTGGGGCACTCACAGACATGGTATTTCTCGAGCAAAGATGATCATGCAAACTGCAACCCATGCTTCGCAGATGTGACAATTGTGGGGTTCCCCAGGCTGGAATTAGTTCCACTCAGCTCTTGAGCGGCTAGGGAGCCAGACATTGGACGATTTCCAAACATTTTGTTGCAATCATGTCCAGAATTTGTTTTTTCTCTCCCAGAGTTCGGCAGGGCTTAGGGAAACAAGAAGACCGATCTCAGGGGTGGCCGTGTAGCCCTACATGGCGCGCGGCGTCAGGCCTTCAGCGGCACGGTGGAAAGCCTGATGGAAGAGGCGACCTTGGAGCGTCGGAGCCAGGACGAGTTCGAAGGGCCCCTGAAGGTCTGAGGAGGGACATCCCCAAGCTGAGGTTTGCTGGGCGATGGACTCTTACACGGGCCTCACCAACATGTTTGGGCAGACTGTAAGCTTCGTTGAAAGGCTCACTTGCAGACTTGATTCAGATCCTGCGAGGGCTGGTGAACCTCAGGTTTGTCAAAGAAATCCGTGTGGCTTTCGTGACTTTGTGTTTTCACACCCTCTCCGAGACGTTCGTTTCGATCCATTTTTGGTGCTGGGTCGAGCCCCTGCTGTCTCGAGCGGGTCGGCTGCCGGTCGCAGGTGAAACTCTTGCGGAAGGATCTGGCACATCTCAGCGGTGCGGAACTTGGGATCGGACCGGGGTCGGATGGACCTCCTTCCGGGGTCGGTCATACCAAGGAGCTGTGCGATCCGAGCCTCCGAGGTGATCGGATCAATGCTCAGTGTTTGGATGTGAAACTGATTGAAACTTCATCACTGTGTCACTATAACTATATATTATGTTTCACTGTTTGAAAGCCATGATTGAAAGTTCGGTGGCAAGAAAAGGATCTCAGGACTAGGGGACACTGTGATCATAGTTCATGCATGTTCATGCTATGATTCCATGATATTGATCTATAGGATATCCCAGATCAGTCTCGACTTGACATTGAATTGAGATCAAATTGAGAGGTTCCTCGTTTAGTTCAGCGCAATGCACCCAACAATCACCCCAAAACTTGTGGGTCGATTCGTTTCCTTTGCTTTTCTTTACATCTTCAGATCCATCGCCCTCTTTAAATGGCTGTATTGCCTGTAGCACTTCGGACCTTGCCACACAGAGCTGTAGACCAGGGACCTCGTGGGACTTGCATCCGAGACGCTTGGTCGCCTCAGCTTCCGAGGCTACCACTTCGAGACGTCCTCCTTAGGGCCGCAGCTCCAAGACGTTGGCTTTGTTTGAGCAAGAAAATCAAGCTGTTTTTTGTGACTTCGCATGAAAGTGAAGCTGGGGGAACAGTAACTAAGCTTGAAACAAACTATAAAGTTCCTCCTTTACTCGGATGATTTGGCGTGTTTTGGTGTGTGCTTAAGGGCTTACTCTCTTTTGCTTGAGCTGTTGGACTTACATCCAATTTCCTGGTCACACTAGATAGCACACCATTTTTGTTGCAGCCAATTATTGTCGGTTGATGTGAAGGGGTGCAAAAGACCCAACAAACAAGTCTGATCTGCGTCTTTTCCGCGCGCCAGTAAGGCTTGACTTCCCGCAACATGTCGAGGTCCGGGGCGAGAACGTCAAGCACTGACTGTGCTCGAAGCACTGGCCAACAGTCAGCAGTGTGAGCAAACTGCGTGCACATCCCCAGTAGATACTGTACTGTAGCTTCTAGCTACGTTCGTAGCTTCTAGCACTTGTTCCTATAGGTAGCGATGCCCGTGTGACTAGTGCACATTCTGGTTGGTCTTGGCCAATGATTCTGGATGTCAAAGGCTCAAAGGGGTTTACACATGTGTGCACGTCGAGACATCATGGATTCGAGACATGGCGATGCCGGGTGTCAGTTTGAATCATGGCTGAAGGTTTGGTGAATCGAGACGGGTTTTTCAGGTGGTATATAGGATTTTGTTCCGTGAACAGTATATCCATTTTCATTGTTAGTTACATTTAGCATATCTGCTGCCACACACAGTTTCTAGCACGCGTGGTCCGCAAACTGGTAGGATTTGGTTCGGGATATGTCTGGCATCCCATTCGATGGTTTTCCCATGAGCTGACTGGGAAGTGTCGGATTCACCTGCAGGAGCCTGAGGCCGAGGATTCCGAGGCGGTTCCCGGTTCGGGTCGGTGACCTCCGTGGACATGAAGTACGAGGGAAGAGGGTTGATGTCGGTCACCCAGGAAGTGACGAAGATACAGATAGGCAGGTTAGAGGGAGGTGGGATGGAGATGGATCAGGTTTTATATCCTCCAGAGGTTACAGGTTTTATAGGATTGGAGGAAATGGAGGCCCGCTGAAGCTGTGGACATGGGGGAACTCAGCAACTCATGAAAACACCCGTGGTGGATGTAGGTGAACAACCGGTTTGTCCATACCAACAAATGTTGGGTTGTAGTAGTTCTGAGAAAGGGTACCCTGTGGAATACTGGACATACTTCTACCCACGGCACTCAATTGCAAACATGTGCGGGTCCTTTGTCAATGGCCACCTGGTGGTTACATTGGGGGTGGATATTTTGCGGAAGCTTCGCAACCAAGGTTACACTGGTACACTGCCTAGACTTCAAGAAGCACCACTACTACTGCTGCTGCTACTACTACCGCTGACTGCCACATGGCAGACCTGATGACCTTCGGAAGCCGCGGTGTCTTTTCGGGCGTGGCCCAAGCGGTCGCGGTCGCCGTCGCGGTGTGCCGAGAGCGGCAATGGTGGAGCTGTGCTCGGCGATGTCGGGTGAAGTGGTGGCACAGCTGGCTGCCATGGAGCTCGAAGAGAAGGTGGTGAAGGAGTTGAAGAGGCATTTTGGATGGACAACTAGGACATATTACCACCTAGCTGTGGGGAGAAAACTGGAAGTTATTGGTAATTAGGCTTTGAGCTGCCAGTGGTTTAGGGTCCATCTTCTATTCTTCTATGAATTACTGTAGTAATTAGTACCTGAATGTGTGGACATGCTTGCGTTTGCCGATCGAAAAAAACATACTGCGCGTGCAGACCCCGAGAGAAAGGGTGAATCCGGACATGGCCGGCTCCGTCGAAATTACTCTACTTCGAGTGATCCCCACCATGACATTTCGAAACAGCCACATTAACATCACCCTCGTTGTGTATTTCAGCCCATAGCACAAGTCCTTCAGCGCCAAGTCTTACTGTTTTGTCCGAAGCGAATGCTTTCATCAGGAGACCTGTGCCCAACTAATAATACAACTCAGATCATTTCAGTAGTAGTCATAATACTGGGCGGCCCAAAGCTAGGAAATTTCCGGGGCCCGAGCAGTTGGAAACTTTCGGGGCCCTAGCAGGAGTAGTAGTGGTACTAGTAGTAGTGGTAGTGGTAGTGGTAGTCGTAGTAGTAGTAGTCGTAGTCGTAGTCGTAGTAGTAGTAGTCGTCGTCGTCGTAGTAGTAGTAGTGGTGGTTGTGGTTGTGGTTGTGTTTGTGTTTGTGGTTGTGTGTTTGTGGTTGTGTTTGTGGTGTTGTGCTTGTGGTGTTGTGTTTGTGGTGTTGTGTTTGTGGTGTTGTGTTTGTGGTTGTGTGTTTGTGGTTGTGTTTGTGGTTGTGTGTTTGTGATTGTGTGCTGTGGTTGAGGTCCGGCAGGGAACACTTGGGTCTGGAGCTCGCGGTTGAGGTCCGGCAGGGAACACTGCGCGCGGATGGTCGCGGTTGAGGTCTTGCAAGGAACACTGGGCGTGGATGGTCGTGGTTGAGGTCCGGCGGAGGAGGACGAGGCGGAGGAGGACGTGGAGGAGAAGGAGGAGGAGGACGAGAAGGGGCTGTCGTAAAATCTAACAACCCTCAAAGTCTTCGACCTTTGGCAGGTCAATCTCCGGATTTTCAGCACCAAGCCAGGCCACTTCTGGCTCCTAAGCCCTGGGTGATTCTGGTCCTCTCCAGGTTAAGCCAGCACCGGCCTCGTGGGCGGACCTCGAACGTCCGGTCTTCCACGCAAAAACGAGATCTTCTCGGCTCAGGCATGTGGCCAAGGCGATCGGAGCCTCGAGGTTTCAACAGAGATGGTTCTATGAAGACTACGCTGAGATTCTTGGAGCTAATTGGAGACATTTTTGTGGACTAAAAGACAACTAGTAGGACAACTAATCATTATGTTAACATCATGATGAGTCTACGTAAACTTCTTTGTGGATGTTTGTGGAGTATGTTGAATTGAATTGTTGTGATACTAATATAAGGAAGAGTTGTTGGATCTTCTTTGGTTCGAATCATTCATTCTTTCAATTTTGAGTAGTCCTCCAAAGGCTTCGACCCGTCCGCGATTTCTTGACCCCAAGGATTGGAGATGATGCGGTCTCTCGCCTCGTTTGGTTTTCTTTTTACAAGCGAGAGTACCCTTGGACCATCCAGGTAGGGAGATTGATCAATCAAGGCGACCTCAAATGGTTGGAAGGACTTATGCAAGTTGATTGCGAAATTGATCAATAACTTTTGCCACAAGTGTTTGGGGTGGAGGCCTCACCAGTCCAAAAATGCAATCGACTCTTCCAGGTGCGTTACAAGTTGCCATCACAAACATTTGTCAGGGTTGGGATATGAACTGAGTACAGAGAACCACGCCATTTGCAACTCAACGTGATGTACAGCGGCAATACAACCAGCCCAGGTTCTTCTACCTCCTTTGAAGGTGCTATTGGTGGTGCTCAGTCTGCTGGAAGATGAGTGCCAGGGTCAACGGCTCATCTTGGCATGTGTTGCAGATCGCTGGAAAGAAGTTGAAGTGCTACTGCAGAAGCCTTTGGCCCCAGACTTCATCCTTGAGAATTACCAGACGGCGCTGCACGTGGCTGCTGTGAACGGGCATGGCCAGTCCTTAGGTCTCTTGCTGGAAGCTGGTGCGGACAAAGACGCTCAGCTGTGCAAGCTTTGTTTTTTTTGCATGACCTTTCCATTTGTTGGCTGGTAGCCACCTCAAATGGGGAACAAATAAGGACAAGCTTACCGCTCATGGGGAAACAGCACTGCATCTGGCAACTCAGAATCGACATCAAGGAGTGGTGCAGCTATTGCTTGAGGCTGAGGTTGACATTAGCACAGGCCGCGTGGCAGATGACTACCAAGCTTTGCATATTGCATCTTCACGTAATCACCAGGAGATAGTGCAGCACCTCCTTGCCGCCCGCGCAGACCACGAAGCGGTCACAACCAGTGGCCACACAGCACTTTCATTGGCAGCAGCCAGAGGTCATCTGGAAGTTGTCCGCTTGCTTCTCCAGACAAATGTCAAACACAAGTCCTATTCTCGGTGGGCAACAGCTTTGCATTTTGCAGCCTTGCGGAATCACGTGGAGATTGTGCAGTTGTTGCTGGAATTGGGGGTGAAAAAGGACGTGAAGATCATAGTAAATGATCAAACTGCGCTGCAAGTTGCAGTAGTCAATGGTCACCTGGAAGTTGTTCGGCTGCTGCTGCAGGCAGATGAAGATATAGATTATGACGCAGTGAATGGTAAGTCGGCCTTGTATTTGGCAGCCATGAACGGCCATGCGGAGATTGTGCAACTGCTGCTGCGATATGGTGCAAACACGGACCAAAGGCAACTCATTGGTGATGGCAGAACTGTTTTGCATCTTGCAATTCAGAAAGGGTATGTGGAAATTACTGAGATACTGCTTGAGGCGAAGGCTGACGCAGACAAGGCTGATAATGACGGCTTGACAGCTTTGCATGCCGTAGCTCAAACCGGCTGCCCAAGAATTACACAGCTGCTATTGAATGCCAAGGCAGACAAAGACAGACGTACTGATGACAGAAAAACAGCTTTGCATTTGGCAACTGCGAATTGCCACACAAAAGTTGTCCAGATGCTCCTCAAGGCTCAGGCGAAGCAAGATGAGGCGATGAAAGATGGGACGACTGCTATACACTTGGCCGCTTTGGCGGGCCAAACCGAAGTTGTACGCTGGTTCATCATGTTCCGTGCAGACATAGACAAGGGGAAAGTTGACAATGAAACGGCGCTGCATTTGGCTGCAGAAAACGATCACCTCCCAGTTGTACGGCTGCTGCTCAATGGAAATGCCGACAAAGATAGGGTGAAATCTGATGGGGCATCAGCTTTACATTTGGCAGCTGTGGAGGGCCATCTCAGGATCGTGGATTTGTTGCTGGAATTTGGTGCAGATCAGGAGTTGGTCAGAGGTGACAGCGGAACAGCTTTGCATTTGGCAGTTTGGAAAGGGTATTTTCCGATTGTGGTGCTGTTGCTTGGGGCCAAGGCTGACGCTGACAAGGCTGACAATGACGGTTTGACAGCGTTGCACGTGGCAGCTCAAAGCGGCTGCCCAAGACTGACACAGCGGTTGCTGAAGGCGATGGCAGACATAGACAAAGTGACTCATGATATGACAACAGCTTTGCATTTTGTAGCTGCCAGTGGCCACCTGGAAGTTCTTCAGATTTTGCTCAAGTGCGATGCTGACACAGAGACGATGAGATTGGATGACGGTCAAACGGCTTTGCACATGGCAACTGCAAATGACCATCCAAAGGTTGTCAAGATGCTTCTAGAAGCAGGGGCAAATAAAGATAGACCTACGAAAGAAGGGATAACTGCTTTGCATTTGGCAGCTACAAGTGGCCACACAGAAGTTGTGCAGCTGTTGCTGATGGCAGGCGCAAACACAACAAAGTCTTTGCACTTTGCAGCTGAAAAGGGGCACCTTGAGGCTGTTGAGATGCTGTTGAAGGCTGGTGCAAACAGCAGCGAGACTCGAATGGAGGATGGGGCAACGGCCTTGCACTTTGCAGCTTTCCATGGCCACCTTGACATTTTGCGGCTGTTGCTCGTGTTTGGTGGGGAGAAAGACGTGGCTATGAACAATGGTGCAACTGCTTTGCATTTGGCAGCTTACAAGGGCCACTTTGAAGCTTTGCGGCTCTTGTTAAGTTTTGGAGCTGATGCAGAGAAGCGCACAGCAGATGGGTTGACCGCCTCGCAAGTTGCTTCTTCGTGTGGCCACTTCAGGTGCTGGTCCGTTTTGACGACATGAACAGAGTGCGCTGTGCAGACAGTAGATTCAGTAGATGGGAGACATCATGAGGCAGCTCAAAGTCAAAAGTTTTGGGAGCTCGACTCTCGACCTACTTTCTACAAGGGAATTCAACATAATTTCTTACAGATGTTACCCATAGCAATTCAGACAAGTTTCAGCCGCATTTCCATAGTTCTGTGAGCTGACAATTCTTTCAGCCACTGCTTCCAAGCTGCAAAGTCCTTTCGAAACTCTCACACGCCATTGACTTTTTGTTCGGATGCTCGCATTTTCGGCAGTACTAGCTTTTCGAGGAGCTTGGGCAACCTTCTGACTAACTGGCTGTTCGAGCCGAAAGAATTCGTGAGAAACCCGGTTGGTGAGGAGACCAAAGCCTCAAGTTCCTTGGCATTCCGAAGTTCAACGTGCAAAGTACTGAAGGATCCAAGTATAAAACAGAATAGAACTACTCATTCTGTTGCACTAAGTACTGAAATGGATATGTAGTTCAGATATGCATCACTACTTCGTAAAGAAATGAAATCCAATTTCTGTACACCACAGGACCGGCTCTTCCACACCGCCGCCAGGATCAGCCCTACTTGAATCAACAGCAGCAGGTCGCACGCCTGGAGGCCACCGCCACCTCGCTCGACGTTCGGAAAGAGAAAAAGGGGATGAGGAAACGCTTGGCATTTTCTATACACTCCCGAGTCAACTCACATAGACCCTGACAACGGCCCCCTGGAAGATTGTTTTCCTCTGCCAACCAGTGGTTATCAAGGTCCATGTTAGTCTTCCAGGGTGTATTTCACGTTCCAATTATACATATATATATATATGTATATTTATAGGAATTGAGGTGTTGTGCCTTGCGCAGTGGTGTACATTAAATAGTTGAGTAACAACCCTACTGTGAAAATCACAGGTGAATGAATTGTTGGTAACAACTCTACTGTTCAGAGCTTTCTTCTGACCATTTAACCTACTACCCTAATCAATATAGAAACTGCCCAGGCGGTCAGGAAGAAGTTTTCCTCTACATAGTGATAGTGAGTGTTTGTTCTGAGGAGGGTGAGGGCCATGAAACGACATCGGCTACCTTTCCTACCGCGATGACGAAGGTCTTATTTTCCGACTGATGCGCCCGTTTGACCTTTTTCTTCTGGATCCACTCACGTGGGGGGCGGCAAAAAGCAGGATCTAACAGTCACAGTCTGCGAATCTAGGACCAAACCAGCGTTTTTCATGCGAACATCGGGCTCTGGACAACTTGGAGGACCAATCTGGAGCAATGCCATAAACAAACGACCAATTGGTCGCTGTTTTACAAATGACCCTCTTCCAGGTGCTGTTGGCGGCGGCCCTGGAGAGAGAGCAGCAGGATCGGCGCTGCCTCGGGTCTTGGGCCCAACAAGAGCTTCAGCTGATGTCAATGGATGCAAAAAAAGGAAGAAGGATGGATGCCATCTGAGTATAGATGTTTCCATATGCCCTAAAGCAGGTAGACTCAGATAGACCTTTTGGTCATGGTTTGGCCAAGTCATGGCCAAATTAGCTTCCTCTCCTGTTTGCGGACTCATGTTAGTTAAGAACGCGTCGACGCTTCTTCGATGCGAAAGGCGGATCAAAGGCAGCACCGTTTGCAACGCTTGGCAAAGTTCTTGGAGGACTGATCCTGGCGTCAGATATGAGGATCGCATATACCATACATACCTGGATCTTCCAACTGGCTATGCCAAATTGGCTGCCTTTTGGCTGGCTTTACGGATGAAAAGACAGACATGTTACATAGTTGGAAGATCCAGGTATAGATTCCCTGTAAGCTGTGGATTTACCATTATGAAACCCCCATTGGATTCCTACGGATACCCATGAAATCCCCGTGCAAATTTCCTTTAAAATGATCAACCATCCTGGGTAACAAAAAGAGCTTCGATTTTGTAAAAATACAGGTTCATTTCCAGGTACCCATTTTTTGGGGGGGTGGGGTGATTGATTTTGTAAGGCCAGCATTCTTTCTTGGGGCTGTTGATTTTGTAAAGAATCGATATGTTGGTATGGATGTCAAAAGTGCCGCACTGGTGAGGGTGGGGTCCTTGATTTTATGCAAGTTTGAGGGTGGGGTGGTTGTCCAGTAGAAAAGCCCCAAACAGTATTACAGAATCAGATTTCTCAAGCCATTAAAAGCGGAAAAATCTTTACACAATCAAAAGTTCGAGCGTCTGGTGCCAATGGAGTTTGGATGAGGCCTTGCGGCAATTGAGGGCATTCTTGAGTCTTAATCCATGGACTGTCAGCTCCTTTTCCGTGCCTTAGTCATATAGAAGTTTCTTTAAAGGGCAAAGAAAGAAAGATACAAAGAAGATACAGTATAAATCTTTCCGTAAACAACGACATGTCGCCCATGCCGCAGGAACAACGCCAATCTCCAGAGAGAATGCCACACTGACGGTCCATTGTCCACTGCAGTAAATGCATTGCGCAAGGTCACATATTTGGAGATAGGCGCGGAAGATTCCTTGGGTGCTGATTCATCTACTGCACTGGCTGCTGCCACCTCAATGATACTGGATGCATCAGGGAGCGATTCCAGAAGCAACTTGTCTGAGTCAAAGACCTTTGCATGACCATCCTGAAGGGGAATTGAAAGGTCTGCGCTCGTTGCGCCATCCTGTTGAATGTTTCTCAGCAAGTCCCCGCATTCCTTGCCATTGTTGCTTCGGTTTCTTCCATCATGCCCATTTCATCATCTTCAGACTCAGCAGGGTGTGCCTGAAGAGATTGCCAATCAAACTCCATTCCTCCATCACTGCAGTATTTTTGGTACATCTCCTCCAGCTTGGCCACATCCAAACCAGAAGAGAAAGCAGCCAGCCGCAAAGCAGCCTTGTATCCATGTTCTCAACACTCACGGAATTCATTTGGAGTCAAGGGAGGCAATTTCTGGACGGAATACTTTTCTGGCTTATTGGCTGCCTGTTGTCGCCGCGCTTCCCCAACATGGCCCGCCAACATCCTCTTGCGTATGCTTGTGTGCGAAGCCGACCAAAGAACTCTTCAATAGAGATCTCACTGACACGGTTTGCGGAACGCCAGTAGTAACCTTGTGTAGCCTTTGTGTAGCAGATCGTCATCACCGTCAAACAGGTCGCATGCTGCAAATTCTCTTTCGTCTGTGGTGCCAAAAAGCAAGCTGTGTGAGGAATCCTGGCCCGTGCTGCTGTAATTCGTGAGAGCAGTTTGAAAAGGTCCACCAACACAAAGCCAGCGACGCTGTTCTCAGATCTGTCTTTGATGCTCATCCGCTGATGCCAGCAGGACACACACAAAGTCCAGATGCAACATTCAGCAACGTTTGTCACTATCTCTCAAGGATTTTCAAGCGTTGTCCAAGCACCAAATTCCAAGGATTTGTTCAATCTATTTGTTGATCTCTTGGATATTGTTGGCATGCGAGGTACGATGGGGTAGGTTCGTGTAAGTGATCCGTGGGACACTGCGAGAACGTTGAAAAAAAAGGGATCCTATCGACTTGACGGACCTTGATGACGTCGCACCATTACAAAATCGTTAGCTTTTCTGTTCCAGGTCTGAGAAATCAGAATGTGTATCCTTTTTGAGACCTCACGGGGGTTGATTTTGTAATTGCATTCAGCCATGTCGACAGAGTGCATATGATTTTGTAAACACTTTTTTTTGGGGCTGGGATAGTTGATTATGTAGAGCTGTCCCTTACCTGCGTCCTGGGGGGGCTTGATTTTGTAAAGCTTTTCAGATTGGCGAACCTGGGGTGCTTGATTCTGTGGCACATTTTCCTTGAAGAATCAACCACCCCTACATACTCCAGAAATTCGAAGAAGGATCCCATGAAGTATGAGAGATTCTTACGCCCAAAGTCTACCCAGTTCAATTTTGGGACGCCACACGGCACCGACCCCCACCCCGCCGCCATGACGGTTTTGGCAGGATTTGGACTTCCGGAAGTGCAGTGGCTTGTCCGGGCCTCGCGGTGTTATTCCAATCGGGACGCTGTCACAACTTGTTGACCTGTGGGGGAAACGGGAAAGTGAAACCAAGCAATGACATGTATTAATATATTTGGGAGAAGACCTTCCGGGGTGTGTGACTCTGGTGAGGGAAGACTCCGGTGGACAGTTCACAAGCTGAGCACTTGCCATTCAAAGGATCATTACATCTATCCATCGACATTACATTGGACGGAGACATGTCGACCGCAATAGATTTGACTTGGCAGGAGAAAACTGCACAGTGAGTACATCCAACAGCTGGTGCCACAAATGGAGGTCCAGACCAGCGCGTTCCGCGCGGTCGGGGCCGTGTGCTGCCATTGCGCAAAGACGTCGGACCTATGAGGTCGGAGAACAAGGACCAGCTGAAACGGAGGGTGAACATAGGGGGTGTAGGTAGGTTGCAAAGCCTGGGCATGTCCCACTTCGATCCATATTGTGCTTCGGATTTGAGATGACTTCATCTACTGAGCTCTTGAAACTACTCGGCCAACGCCGTTGGTGGGGTGATGAGATATGTGATGCGTCGCGTGAGTGACGTTTCACCTGGATTGGGTGAGCTGTTGAATTCGTGTTTGTGGGTGTGGAGGTCATGGTGAGGTCCTGGGGGCGGTCGTCCGAACCAGAGCCCCGAACAAAAGGCATGAACATCACAGGACACACGATGAGCACTGGGTTTCTTGTCTATAACTGTCTACAACTCTTGTGTAGTTTGTTTCTTTTGTCCTGCATGGTTTCTATGTTTTTATTTATATAATTCCACGATGTGTCATCACTTTCTTTTTCCGCCATTGTTGGCTTTTCACTTCGAAGACTATCCATATCACTTGATGCAGAGCCCGCAACCTGAGATGATTTTGGTCGGCAAACGGGGGATGCTCCGGTGCCGGCTTCGGCCGGCGTGACCAGCGTTTTTCTGTTCAGGCTTCTGTGCTGACAGACGACCCAGAAGTGCAGGAGACTTCGCCGGAAGCACCGGACGCAGCAGAAGTTGATGTGTGAATTTAAAGATACTTGAAGACAGTACTTGGCAATCATGCACTGTAACATACTGTAACTGGTAGTGTTTTTTTTGTTTTTGTTTTAGTCTTTC